CATGTTGTGACATTTGCTCCTGGTCACTCCTGGCCTGGAGTGGGTGCTCTCTCTTCCCTGTCCCAGTCACCAGCAGGTCACCCCCATGTGAACATGCCCAGGCTGCCTTTGAAGCCATACAGATGGCATGAACTGGGTACGCTCAGTCCCTCTGCCAGACACACACACGCAAAGTATCATTGTCTCCTCTGACATCTAAATAGAAGCTGCACAGAGGCCAAATCAAAGTTTCCTCTGGCACCAAGCAAGGACCATTCTTCCCAGCTAATGGGCAACCCTAAACAAGTTGCCTGGAAAGCAACACAGTTCACATCAGCTGCAGGGTGATATTGCATGGTTCTGCTCAAGAATTCCTGGGCAAGAGGCTGTAAGAGATCTCTGCAGCAAGTCCAACACATGCAGAAGGCTTTATTTAGACTCACTCTGAATGTCCAAGATTTTTGGATCAGTACCAGGAGGTTCAGCTTGGGCTGAACTATGGAGTCATCCCTGGTGGGTATGTCCAAGGCTCGCCAGCACCCAGCAGCCTAGCGGGAGAAGTAACTGCCAGTGTGGGCAACTCCTAGATGAGTGTCTTAAGTCTTACACCTCCCAGGTAAGCCTGGGCATGTGGGCAGCCTCTGCAGCTGTGGAAATTCTTTGGGCATTTGGTGAAATTGTAAGAGTAGCAGGCACAGTTTGCTACCAAAAATGTTTTTCTAGACATTTCTGCCTTATCATCTTTTTGTGCTTTACTACATTCCCATGGAAGACGTCTAGGAGGAAGATCTTAGGAAGAAGAGAGCCATAATATTTCTGTAACTGGAAATGTTGACAGGATGAGCTGGGAAGAAAGTGTACAAAGATGTTTTAGTGCACAGCAGAACTAGGGACTCCAAGATTTTGATGTGAACAGGAAGGCAAAATCTTTATTTTTGCACCTTTTTTTTCCCCCAGTAGACAATGCATAATATCTTTCTATTCTTGCAAGGATCACCTTAATCTGATGATGCAGATACTGGAAGAGCTAATTATGTATCTACCCTGTCCAAGTTATCACATATGAACATGTGCTTATGCAGATGAGTATGTATAGTCCATAAGTTTCTTTGGATAATGCTCTGTGCTTATTCTCCTAACACGTGTTAGAAGCAGAAAGACTTCAATGAGACAAAGGTGTCGCACAATCACATCAGCAGACTTTATTAGCTTTCTGGGCAGCTTTTTCCATTATGTAAAAGCTGTGTTTGTATTAGTATAGCAGTTAGACCCACCAGTGTGAGGATTACTGTTGGTTTTTACATAATGGATTATCCAAGATTAAGCGTTTTATTCAGGCACACGAGCAAAAATAACCAATTAGTGACTTTGCAGATTCATTATTTAAAGGCAGCTGGAGGGCAATTGACACAAAACTCTCCTGCTGACTGCAGCCCACAGACTGAAGCAGAGTAGTCTCGGGGATCTTCAGCGACTCCAGCCCAGACCAACAGGTAGGTCTCTCTCTGGCGTTAGCGTCTCTTGCAGCAGGGATGTGCAGCTTGCACGGCAGCATCTGGGAACAGAGTAGCTGCCTGGGTGCTTGGAAGGCCTGGGTTGGTAGCTCAGCTTGGATGTTGCAGGCAAGTTCCAGGTAACTGTGTTTTATCTTGGCATGAGAACAGGTATTCAGAGTCAAACACTCTGCAAGAATGTATGTGCAGGTGCTTGCTTCTCAAAGTGTGAGAAAAAAATATGCTGGGGTGCAGATGAGACACCCAAGACAACGACTAAAGCCACGGCTGCCTTGTGTCTGTGCTGCAGCGGCAGATCAAGCCTCTAGAAATTGAGTATTATTTATCATGTTTGCAGAAAGAATGGTCTGAGGGCAGACAACACTAATATGTATTTTGCCATTCGAGTAGGCAGCTAGGAAGAGACTGTTTCGGTAATGAGCACTGGTCATAAAGAACACTGCTTTGCTGGCTTGAAAGCAAAGTGGACATTCACCATGAAATAATTAGGAACAACACCCTTACAACCTACTCTGCTTTACTAGAGCTCATCAGAACATCATTCTTCTTGTGAAAACAGTTTTTTTTTTTAAATTTCAAATTTTTATAAGTTCTTACCAACCTTATCCAGAGTCTGGTTTGATTTATAATGTAAAAATATCATGAAACGCAATACTACTACTGGCGAGCAAAACGCTCTTGCAAAGCAATTGCCATTGGTGCTCAGTTTTGGCTGGATTTAGGCACCAAAGTGACCCAGTGGTTTCTCAGTGGAATTGGTAGTCTACTCAGAGTGGGAATAAATTAGCTTTACAATGAGAGGAATGTATCTGTAGACACAGCACTAGCTACCCACATGTACTGCATGAAATAAAACTCCACGATTTCTTTTGTCTTGCAGAATGAAATACGCACAGTATGTTTTCCTGGCCTTGGTCTTCTCCACTGTTGAATATAGCCTAGCTCAGACCTGTGCAGTGGAGTCTTTCTCTGTGAAAGACAACTTTGATCCAAAAAGGGTAATTATGGTTACTTCAACAGTATATGTGAAGAAGGTTCATATGTAAACTGTTTATCCAGGGTTGTGTTAATCTAAAAGAGTTCTTCACCTTAATTGCTTTTGTACGCTGTCTCTTGGATGCTGTACCTGTAGTTCACTTTTCTCACTACTGTTTAACCTCCTGAGTGTTATTTATGGTAAAACTGGCCTTGAGAGTCAGGGATGTTGTTCTCTTAGACATCACCTTCTGTTAGCTCAAAGCTCAGTACAGATCTCAGATCTGCATGGTCCTGTGAATGAAACAATTCAGATCCCCACCGGAGACAAAGCCCAAATACATGCCCTGGGGGCCTTGCATCCACCAGCCATTCTTGGGAGTCATAGCAAACTGGAATTTTTTCTAGTTGAGTATCCTGAACACAGAATCTTTCTTACTCTTTTTTGAACAGAACAGTCTGCTTGCCTCTGAGAAGGAAATCAGGACTAATGTGGTGTTGGAAAGGTCCAGATAGGTGTGCCGGCACTTATTTTGACTGTTTTTCAGCAAACTTCACTTCCTCCTGCAGCTGGGGTGGGGCCAGCACTTCCTCTGTACAAGACTGGCTTTGCTGGAAACAAATCCATATCTGGGGAGAGCTCTGGGAAGATCTCAGTTTTAAAAAGTCAAGGGTTTTTTTCTCAGGCTCCTGTATTTGGGAATTACAGCCTCTGTTTCAGACTTCAGCCTGTAACTTGCCAACTGATCTCATTAGCTTCACTGAAGAATTACATTTAACAGAGCTAAGTTTTGCTTTCCTCAATATTTCTAATAATAAAGTTAGCTTTTGAGAGTCTTCCTGTCTTGTCAGTCAGCTGTTAAGATCCTGTTTTCATTTTACTACATACTGCTTGTACATTTTCAGGGACCCATTTTTTTTCCTAGAGATTTTCTTCCTTTTAGTGTCCTTTCATTTCCCTCTGTTACTTGTCTCCCCAGCACATCCTTTTCTCTTCATAGTGCCCAGAGCCATCACTTTCTGCTTCACTGAGTAGACCCTTTTCACCATCAGAGACCAACTGTGGCCCCTGGCTGCCACAAGAGTGTCTCCAGCCAGCTTGCAGAGGTCCTTGTGGCTGCAATTTGGTTCCATTGATGGCATCTCCCACGGAAAAGCAGGGGCCTGAATGGGAAAAGGCAAGAACTTGCCTGAATCACAGAATCACAGAGTATTAGGAGTAGGAAGGGACCTCTGAAGATCATCCAGTCCAACCCCCCTGCCAGAGCAGGATCACCCAGACCAGGTCACACAGGAACGCGTCCAAGCGGGTTTTGAATGTCTCCAGAGAAGGAGACTCCACAACCTCTCTGGGCAGCCTGGTCCAGTGCTCTGTTACCCTCACAGTGAAACCGTTTTTCCTCATGCTCAGGCTGAACCTATGCTCCAGCAAAGGAGCATAGAAGACATCTCAGGGTGGAAGAAGCTTTCAGTGCAGGGTCACTAACAAGAACGTCTCATGTGACAATGAGTATGTGCACACAGAAGTGGAGAGCTGTCAGACCCACAGCAGCAAGGGTTCTTCAGATGGCATAGCAGGACCTGTTTGCTACATACCCCTCCAAATTCAGACTTTCTCCATAGGCCAGGCAATGGGTAGTTAGAAGGGAACTGTGTTTCCAATAGTACTTTTGTGCTAATCTTGCCATGGTGATTAATCCAGATATTAATATTCTTTCATGTTAGTATGCAGGAAAATGGTATGCCCTGGCCAAGAAGGATCCAGAAGGCCTTTTCCTTCAGGACAACATCTCTGCTGAATACACTGTGGAGGAAGATGGCACAATGACAGCATCTTCTAAGGGCCGAGTGAAGCTTTTTGGGTGAGCTTTTTTTACCTGCTGCCATGAGGTACTAGAGGAGGAGGACATGCGTGGTGATCTGTCTCAAGCACACAACACATCAGGGTTTTCTTCATCAAAAAGGAAAGCTTAATCAAGTTAATATAGTACAAGACACAGGTTAGACACATTTGAGTCCTGGGTTACTTCTCAGCCTGGTACTGGTCTGGGTCCATCACAAAACTATTGCATAAAGTCAAATGTTTATAACTAATGGAGTGTTTAGGTAAATGAATTGCAACCAAGAGAGAGGAGCTAGTGAAGCCAGTGGGGCTGTGAGAGCAGGACAGCTCTCATTTCACTGACACGTCCAGGAGAAGGAGAGGCGTTAAGTGAGCATTACTTCTGCAGATCTTTCCACACAGTGTTGGATGGACCTCTGAGGAAAACATGTGGTTAACTCTTGGGTGCTATTGTGATGCCTGAATAGACAGATGGAAGGAATCTTAAGAGTTCTGCCTGCTGGTCATGGTTACTATGAGGAATTACAGGGATTAAATAGTTTCTGGGTGTAAAAAGAAAATCTGGAGCTTTCAGTAGGCTAGCACTAGTTCTATTGTGTGTTAACTACCAAAAATTGTCTAACTGCATGAATAATAAAGTTGAACAGGTGGCTATGAACTTTATAAATCTTAACAGGACAGCACTCCAGGATATTTTGAGTTGGGACAAATGAAGCTTTGCAGGCATTTTGATTGGCAGCTGTCTGCCGGTACAGAAATGAGTAGTAAAAAGCTTGCAGAGCTGAAGGAGCATTAGAGCACTGCCCCAGCAATGCACTGTCAGTGATGAGGGGGTGTCACAGATATGTATTACTTAATGACAAACAGTGACTTTGCATTAAGAAGGGCCATGCCCATGCCTGATGCAGTTGTGCTGAAGCATATCCTGGTTCTTGACCAAGTCCTGAGTAAGTGACACCCATTTGAAGTTCACATGTTGCAGGATTTTACCTTCAGTTTCATGGATTTTGTTGCAGATTCTGGGTGATCTGTGCCGACATGGCTGGTCCGTACAGGGGCGGACAGGGCGGCTCAGTACACAGTACCTGACCCAACCACTCCAGCAAAAATGTACATGACCTACCAGGGCCTGGCCAGCTACCTCTCCAGTGGTGGTAAGTGAAATTCCCCCAGTGCTGGTCAATAGGTTACAGCTGCCTAGATTTGTGTGCTTCAGTATACAAGCTGGGAAAAAACAGGTGAGCTCATATTGCTCCAAGTGGAGACAAAGCATCTTTTTTGGGGGGTGAAGCTTTAACCAAGCAGTGCTATCTATCTCCAGAGAAATGACAGGATGCAGAGACTCCCCAGAGACCCCACCTATACACTACATAGACAAACAGGGAGGATGCAACTTAGAGGCAATGGGCCATGCACACAAGCTTTGTACAGCCAAGTGGGGTGTTGATCCTATGGAAGCAATACCTTCTGGGCCCCACAGTGGGCATTATAAAGCTGCTGGGGGTCAGTCATCCTCATACTTCTCACAGCTGATGGGAGGTGACATGTGGACCCACATCTGCACTCCAGCAGCAAGGTGCAGCTCTCCTCAGCAGACACAGCAGAACTCAACAGAATGGAGCTGTTAACTGGAGTCCTTGCAGAAACTGCTTGTGCTGAGCTTCACATGAGCTTATGCACCCTGTACACCCCATACTTTGTGCTCAAGCCTCCCATAGCTGTGGGAATCCAGCTGTGGAAGCTGGGCGGGATTTGGCCTGCAATTGCATGAAAGAGGTATATTCATTTAGTACCGGCAGATAGGCCACACCAAAATGCACTTAGTTGAGCAAGGCTGGAAAAAAGAAGACATATTTTGCTGAGGCTTCTTATATAGGAAATATAATCTTTATGGCCAAAATTTAATCTGTATGCCCCGCCTCCCTCCCTTGACCTAGAAACACAAAGCAATTTTTTTTCATTGAAAATCTGGAAAGTCCTAGTCCTGCTGATACTTCTAGCCTAAGAAACCAAAGGTGAAAATGCACTGAGCATCATGGTAAGCAACATGGTCTCAAGATGCCCAGTGCTTGCCCTAGTTCTTTACTTCGTGGTGTTGACTTGTGGGTGGTGACTTTGGATCTTTTGGGCAGTTATCTCTGCCCTGTGCTGAAGTGAAGTGTCTCCCTGCAGGACAACCAGGTCCACTTCTGCGCTGCTTTGCCCACTGTGCCAAATAGGTGTGTTCTGATTTTTCAGGGGACAATTACTGGGTGATTGACACAGACTATGATAACTATGCCATCACCTATGCCTGCCGCAGTCTAAAGGAGGATGGCTCCTGTGATGACGGCTACTCTCTGATCTTCTCGCGCAACCCCCGTGGCCTCCCCCCAGCCATTCAGCGCATCGTGCGTCAGAAGCAGGAAGAAATCTGCATGTCTGGCCAGTTCCAGCCGGTGCTTCAGTCAGGTACTTTGGACTAATTAGCAAATCCACTGAAACGGCTGCGCTGGCAGCTTGTGGATCAGGTGATCACACCTGCTGCAAACGCAACAGAACTGTAGCAACATAAGTTGTACTGTTTTAGCATTTTTAAATGTTATATAGAGTTGTGTGAGCCAGTCCTCCACTACAGAGCAGGTGGTTATCCCTCAAGGTTATAGGACTGGTGGGGACATCCCTGTCCCATGGCCCTCTGTATCGCTTGCTGTAGCAGAGGGAGAGCGCATGGTTTGTGGGCTCATGCCTTAGGTGCTCATGTAAGCTGAGAACTCATGGCTAGCTGGGGCTAGCAAAGGCTGCGCAAGTGCTGTGCCACCAGGCACAGCAATGCAGAGCAACGCAAGCATCAACTTTTGCACCCCAATCCCCATCCTCACCTTGTGATTAGGAAGGTTGTAGATACAGCCTCACTGAAGACTAAAAGGCTGTTAAAGGACTTTGCAAACTTAGAAGAACTAAAGTTTACTTTTCTTTCTTTCCAGGGGCCTGCTAAGTACACTTCTGATCCTACCCTTAAACACCGAAACCAGACCTCCTGGTTTTGAAGTTGCCACTCAGCTAATAAAAAAAGAAAATTATAGTCTGGACTAGTGTGTTTTTTCTGAAAAACACATGAAAATGTTGGTGTTCTTGTAAACTGCGTGCAACACAGTATTGATATTTGAATTTTCAAGGGGATACCTAAAGTGGCATTTATGTTAGTGTTAATAAATGTTTTTAAAAAAAACATGTCTGGAAATGCTTTTTGTTACCTCCTGTTCTCTCACGGAGCAGGGCTGCTCACTGAGCGGAGGCAAGATGGCAGCTGAGGGTGGCCCCAGCATAGGTGGGGCAGTGCCCCTACCCGGCACCAAACAGAGAGCGCAAGGCAGGGGTGGCGACGGGGACAGGTGCCTTGACAGTGCTGAACCTCAAACAAACACATGGTGACAGGGCAGGTCTGGGGCTCACCTGGGAAGCAGCAAGGCACAGGGCAGGGTGCAGGCATGCCTGCCAGGTGGACCGTGGGCAAGGGGTATGTAGGTGGAGGTCCCAGGTGAGGCTGCAAAAAGCAACAAGGACTTGTAGGTGCCTGCAGGTCCCTGGTGTACACAGCGTACCTCTCCCATCAACACTTCCATCTAAATTCTGAAGCTAAGAAATCCTCTTGAACACCAACTCTGACATGATGCTGATAATGTGATCCTTGCTGCCTGGTAATATCTTATGATTATTTCTGGTACATCTGGGTACTCAGAAGTCTGCATAGGGTATTCTAAGTAGTCCCTGAATCATGAACACAATAAAGCAGATGTTCCTTTCAATAACACTGGGACATTGCTTTAAATGAGCAGTTACTTGCATTTCTAATGGCATAGGCAGTAATTTACTACTCACTGCCTTCATAATCCCACCTCCAGTAACTGAGAGGGATAGAACTGAAAGATACAGAATCAACAGATTTTATGGCCAAGAATTTCATAGATAGAGGGAACCAAAAGAGCAGTATCTAGACAACTCCTTGTAGAAAAAGGGTAACCCAAGCCAGCATTTTTGACATATATTTCCTACTGCTCATAGTAAAATCCAATTCACTTTGAATGTTTCCTGTGAATAAAACTATCAGTCTCAAGCTTGTATTTCCCAGGCTTTCCAGGTGGGACTCCTAAGGCTCCTAGCTAGTATCAAAAAAAGGTGAATCAAGATCTTGCTCTTCTGGTCTACGGAAAGCTACTTTAATAGAGAACAAGATGGTGAACTACCATCTAAAACTAAGGACAAAAACAGAAGAGCAGCAGCAGGCAATGCAAACAAAAACCCACATAGATAGAGACGACTGAGTGTCAAAAAAATATCAGCCTCTTATGCTGGACTAAATGCAAGGACACTGCACTGACTGAATATTCACCACTTGACCCCCTCTTCCATGAGGAAGTATTGAGGTGGAGATTTGTGAACTTAGGACTTGCATCACAAGTGATTAGACAACACTAAACCCTACCTGAAGGAGCCTGGACTTTTGCCAGGACATTCAGACCAATACTACCAGTTCTAGAGAAGTGGCATTTTTAATGTCTACAGTTGTAATAACTGTATGACCAGAGCCAATGGGAGTTCTAGCTATGCAGGACCAAGCTCATCATTATTGTGCTTAGTACTGTCTGTCCCAATAAGTTAGACTGTGAAATCCCTCCTCAGCCATGCAAGGTTGTGCGTCTAGGTTTGTAGGAGGATAGTGGTGATTCTGGGAGAATACCCCATGGAGTTATACATGACCCAGGAATCTGCCTCGTTCTTGGAGAAACTGGAGCAGCATGTTCCTGTCAGGGAGACATGCAGGCCCTCATCATACGATCTGGTGTGTTAATAAGCAGATGGAACTTAACTCATATTCATTTCTCTCCAGTGACTGCAGGAAATGTGAAAGATGAGGAAGGGTCAGGCAGGCCACTACGGGTGTATTCTGATCTGATTTACACTTCTCTTGTTATTCCACTGAGTACAACATAAAACATCAATGGTATGCCTAAGGCAGACACACTTCTGTCTGCTGATTGAGCTGGCTGGTGAGAACCAGTCTATCATCTGTGGTTTTAAGTGCATGTATAGGTCCCAAGTTGTAATTTCTGTTCTGCACAAACTTTCCACTAACAAAAGAAAAAGCTGTTTACGAATGAGAAAGTACTGTTGTTTTGTCCTCAGAAGGTCCTTTAGTGCTGGCAGAAAGGCTATGACTGCACAACAGCAGGAGGAACCCTGCAAGGATATTGTCCTTCACACGTTAGTGAACCTCCTCCCAGCAAGGACACTGCGAGTCCTGAGATGTGACGCTGCGGTATCCTGTTGAGCTAGACCAGTATTCCCTGCGCTGTGGCAACTGAGGCAATCTATGCATTTGAGCTCCTATTTCAGCCTTGAAAGTTGTTATGGTCACACTCCCTTCATTCTTCATTTTTATGTAATGTTGGAACTTGCACCATCCGGCCATCCTTTACACTTTGAGAATAGGCTTTACTTCTCAAAATTAAGCTGTTGACACAAGAGTTTTGAGCAGTTTCCAGAACACAATTATCAGCTCCTGTTTTTACAGGGTTCATGTGAAAGATTAAAAACTGTTTTTCTTGGGTAGCACAAAGGATAGTAAAAAATGCAGTGTGTACACAGTTAGAGAACATAAAATACTCTTTGAAGTTTTTTCCCTAGCATTCATTTTAACAAACACCTGCAAAACTGTTAGCTAGCTTCAGAAGCTTTTGCTTGAAGAGCAAGCAAACAACCTCATCTTGCAGTTGCAGTTAGATTTGACCCTATTTGGATTTAGGGTCAGCAAGAGACATACCTGAGCGCTCTGCAGTCATGCTTTGGTTCTGATGCTACAGAACAACTAAGCACCTACTACTTCGCGCTACCCATATCTGGCACTTCCAAAAACTGAAACTGCGAGGGGGAGCTGATCACTGCCCAGTAACGGAGGAGATGATAGAGTTAAACATGCAGTTTTGGAAGCGCTATCAGACAGTCAGTGACAGATGGTTACAGAAAACTCAAGTTTCAAGTATTAAAAAGCATTTTTCTGTAGGCATTAAATTATAAAAAAGACAAGGGCAGCCCAAAACTTCTGTACTTCGTTTGAAATAAATTCAAGCCCGGAAATATAAAATTTTCTGCTGCAATTGTTTAGACTTACTAATTGCTTAAAGGAATAAGTTTATACTAAAGCAGCAGAGAAGAAGAAAAAAAATCC